AGGTGGCCAAAAGTGGAAGACAAAGAAGCAGAAGCCATATGAGGGAACAGAACAGAGACCCAGATATAATGGAGTCGAGTAATCTAACAGACGCAGAGTTCAAAACACTGGTTATAAAGATGCTCAATGAACTTTTCAGCGAGAACTTCAACAAAGAGATAAAAAACAAAAATGGAAATGAAAATTATAAAAGAGAACCAGTCTGAAATGAAGAACACATTATCTGAGATGAGTATATTAAATGGAATAAACAAAGGAATAAACAAAGTGAATAAAGAAAAGGATCAAATGCCCTATCTAGAAGACAGGAAAGCTAATCAGGACACTCAATCAGAATGGCAAGAAAGAAGGTTGCCAAGACTATAAAAATAATTGAAGGAGGACATGGGACACTATTAAGGCTCCAAATATTCGTCTGATCGGCATAACAGAAGAAAATCAAGATGTTGAGCAGCTATTTGAAGAAATAATGATTGAAAACTTCCCTAACCTGGTGAAGGAAATGGACATAAAACCCCAGGAAGCTCAGAGAATTCTAAAAATCAGGGATTCAAAGAGGCTCACACCAAGACACATCATAATTAAAATGCCAAAGGTTAAATACAAAGAATATTAAAAGCAACTAGAGAAAAACAGATAATTACTTATAAAGGAACACCCATAAGACTGGCAGCTGATTTCTCAAAAGAAACTGTGAAGGACAGAAGGGCTTGGCAAAAAATATTCCACGGGATAAAGACCCAGGATCTACAACCAAGAATAATTTATCCAGCAAAGCTATCATTTAGAGTTGAAGGACAGAAAAGGAGCTTTCCAGACAAAAATAAACTAAAGAAATTTACCACCACTAAGCCAGTATTACAGGAAATGTTGGAGGGACTTTTTTGAAAAGAAAAAACATGTTTTAAAAACAGGAATAAAGAAGGATAACAACTACATTCCTATCAATAAGTACCTTAAATGGAAAAGAATTAAGTGCTCCAACTGAAAGATAGAGTGGCTGAAAGGATAAGAAAACAAGACCCCTACATATGAAAAGGAAGGGGATGGTAAAAGATATTGCTTTGATGCACCTAGAAGGTATTTAAGTCAGACAGAGAAAGAGAAACACTATATGATTTCACTTATATGCGGAATCTAAGGAATATAAAGAACAAACTAATCAAAAAC